GAGGAAGACTGAACGTTGGGTTCCACACTTCCCACCCTGCAAGGACAACTGGAGCCAAGGCCTGTCCCAGCCACCGGCCCAGCCTGTCCTTGGGGCAGTGCTGAGGTGGTGACAAACAATCCTCCCCAGAGACTCCCTGAGTGGGAACACGATGCAGGCTGGTTGCTGGGCTCCTTTATTGTTTCATTTGTTACAGAGAAGCAGAACACAGGGCCCAGAGCCCAGAGCAAGGGCTGTCCTGGTGCCACTGCCAATGTGGTTGAGCAGCAAGAGGGACACGCACGGCTCGGCGAGACTGGAGATGTGCAGGGAGTGTGGGTGGATGTCACCCCTGTCCCCCTGGCCCCCAGCACACCCAGCACTGCAGAGCAGAGGTAGGACAGCAGAGAAGGAGAGAATGTCACGTCACCAGAGAACTGAACAGGTTGATGTCTTGGCAGGACCAAGGTTGTGCTCTGCTCAAGCACGTTCAGACCCTCCTGGCCTTGGCAACAAGGTTGGGTCCAGAACCAAAGCACTCATTTAAGTCCTACAAGAACAGAAGCACAGACCTTGCTGGAGAAGATGCCCTCCAGGACCCACTTCAGCACCCTCAGGTTGTTTCAACACCCAGTTCAAGGAGTACAAACTAAAGCTCCATCCATCTTCCAGCTAAAGAAGACCCTGCTGGTGTCCCTCCAGGCAGGAAGCAGAGCTGATGCCTGTGCAGACAACAGGACAGTGGTACCTCCAGTGACAGCTGAACCCTGGTGTGTCATCTCACGTGTTGAGGAGAAGTAGTGGAGAGTTTTTGGCAAGGATGGCCACTCTGGAGACCTGGCAGAGAGCTGCTGGCTAGTGAACAGTCCGTTCCTTCTGTCTCTGGTAATCTGGGAGGGAAAGGGAAGGCTAGGCTGAAAGGGCAGGAATAGCAGTGGCTGATGACAAGGGGGAATGAGCCACAATGTTAAGGGAAACATACTCTGTTCATAGCTCCCTAAGCAGGGGCAGGGTTTGCTGCCCTCTGGAGTAGCAGCTGCCTATAAAACAGCACCTTTGCACCCCAGGCGGTCATTTGAAGTTATTTCAGGCCATTTAGAACAAATGTTTGTTTAAAGTCCTCTCTTCCCCTGGTTCCTATTTTCCTTCTTTCTTCACTTAAGAAGAAAAATGTCATTTTAGGAGGAATCCTTGCCTGGCCTGATTTGACCTCCATTTTCCCCCTACTTATACCTATGAACTTTATGGGTGCAGAAACTGAGAGTTAATACAATCTTTACCCTCACTCAGAATTTAAACCTTCTTGGGGAGGGATAAACACCACGGGCACAGGCCCACGAGTGACAGAACTAATTCCTGTGTTATTCAAGGATAAGCAGCATCTTCTACAGCTCTAAAGTTAACACTTCCACCCAACAATCACCCCAGCTTTTAGCACCCTGTTGCTAAACCCTGCACTACAAGTTTTCCTTCATGGACAGCTGAAGCCAGTCCTTGCTGTTTTGACTTGGTAGCTGTCCTGATCCCCAGCTCAAATCCCAGTGTTAGGCTGCTAGCTGCTAAGCTCAGCTGGAACCAGCAGGGATGCAGAGCAGTTTGCTTCCCAAGGAGAAAAGCAGCCAGGTGCCTGGGCTGGGAGCTGGTGGGCACTTACTGTAGGGGAAGTACCGCACACGCATGGTGATTTCACGGGCTGTCTTCAGGATCTCCACAGCCTGCAAGCAGAAAGAGCTGCTGAGTGACCAGCCTGGGCTGGAGGACAGGACAGAGGAATGCCTGGGCTGGAAGGAGATGGGTGTTTTCACCACGGACGTGCTCACCTTGCTGTGCTCAATGTCCTGGAAATCCACGTCGTTCACCGAGAGCACCTGGTCCCCTTCCTGCAGCCCAGCCCTGTGTGCATCCGAGTCAGGGATCACCTGGGGAGGCAGGAGCAGGGAGAGGAGCCCTGTGCTGCTGCTGCAGCCCAGCCCCACAGCCCCCCAGAGAGGGTGGGGAGCAGGGACTGCAGCACACAGCAACACTCCCCGGGCTGGCAGGGAGCAGGAGATGGTGTGGGACTGTCTGATGGCTGCTTGGTGCCTGGTAAATGACAGTGGTGAGGTGGGAGACACGTACAAGCGAGCACACCACAGTCTCCTTGCAGACCCAGCTGGCTCAGCAACACCCAAGGGAACAGGCAGAGAACGGGGAGGGAATGCAGGAAGACAAACACACCTTAGAGATGAAGATGCCCAGCTGTGAGGCTTTTCCTCCCCGGATGTTGAAGCCCAGCTGTGAGAGGAACCAGCACAGAAATGCAGTCACTGTGGGTCCTTCAGCCTAGGCCCCTTCCCACTGGATACGTGTATCTTCCCGGTGGAGCAGAGCTGTGGGTGCTGCACTGTTCAGCCAGGCAGCAGCAAGCTCCAGTGCCCCTCTGCTAACTTCCCTGGCCATCTCACCTTGGACACCCCAGGGTCTCCTTTTCCTTTATCAGTTTCACATCCCACTGGGCTTCCCCCACAAAGATTTCTTCCCCCTCCCTGGCACAGCCCTTCCCTTTTCCCCATCCCTCCTCCCAACACCCCGCCAGAGGGAAGCACCGGGAGCCCGTCTGGCCTCCACCCCAGCACCTTCTCCTGCTGGGAATTATCATCACCCGGCGGCTCTGGGGCCCCCGCAGCAACCGAGCGTTGCCAGGAAAGGCGCTGGGAGAGGAGCGTGGATCCAACAGGGAAAACCCCGGCGGGAAGGGAGGGAGGGAGGAAGAGAGGAAAGGAGGAAGGAAGGAAGGGAGGGAGGAAAGGAGGAAGGGAGGAAAGGAGGAAGGGAGGAAAGGAGGAAGGGAGGAAAGGAGGAAGGGAGGAAGGGAGGGAGGAAGGGAGGGAGGAAGGGAGGAAGGGAGGGAGGAAGGGAGGAAGGGAGGGAGGGAGGAAGGGAGGAGGAAGGGAGGAAGGGAAGGAGGGAGGAAAGAAGGAAGGGAGGCAGGAAGGGAGGAAGGAAGGAAGGAAGGAAGGAAGGAAGGAAGGAAGGAAGGAAGGAAGGAAGGGAGAAAAGGAGGAAGGGAGGAAAGGAGGAAGGGAGGGAGACAGGCAGGAAGGAAGGAAGGCAGGAAGGAAGGCAGGCAGGAAGGAAGGCAGGAAGGAAGGAAGGCAGGAAGG